AGCTCCCTGTTCTACAGCCCTGTTCAATGTTGACATGAGTCTCACAAGGAAAGACTGGGTAAACCACCAAAAATGTAGTCAACCAGAAAAATTCTTCACATTGACACAAACATGCCTTAGGAATTCCTTTTCCTCAGTTTTATGTTCCAGTGCCGCATATAGTAGGCCCCGACATTCTGACCAGAAGCTGCTATGGTGCAAAGTGGCTTGCTATAGTTAATACAGTTCTTTTATTAGTAGCTTCCTGCTTCTCTGCATGAGAAATCATCTCCTGATTGATTTCTGTCCACTGCCCTAAGATACTACATGACTGCTCTCTCGAGTCTGTAAGTACTGTATTATGCACAAATCACAACACCCATGGTTTATAATCTGCCAGCACTAAAAAGGCAGCAAAAAGAAATGTGCCCATTCATTTTGATGCACTAGCCCCCGTTTCCCTCCTGATATTAGGCAGATGGACACTCTCTTCATACAGTCCCTCTCTCAAGAGATCTATATGCTCACAGAGATATACCAGGAGAAGGAACAAACCCCTACATTTGGTTGATGACATACGTGCATAGTTAAAAAAGCACACAGGTACCATGGCAGAAAACAGGCTCTGAACCAGTGATCTGTATGTGATCCTCAAGTACTTTGTTTCAGATTTTTACCTTTCTGGTAAATGCTCCACCCATTTCTGGTGTCCATTGGAAAGGTAATGAAGAGAGAGGGCAGACTTCTTCAGGACAGCCACGTACTTTGCCACATCCTGCAGACCTACTAAACTAGCCACCTGGAAACTAAGCACATAGAAATGGGGAGTGAAGTGATGAACACAGAGATACTACCTAGCTCCTGGAGCCATAGCAACCACCAAGTAACAGAAAACAGCCATCTTCTTCCCCACCACAGTAGCTATGACCAAAACCTTTCCCAAAAAAATAGCTACTCTCCATTCTGTACAGTTGACAGTGTAGAACTTTAACAGACAGCTCTCTAGAGATAGACATGATGGACTGATTTCAAAGTGTTTTCAATCACAGTTTCAATCAACAAGCAGGAAACTCTAATCTAACTCAAGGTTTTCATTGTGTCTTGTATCTGACAAGCCCAGATACAAAAATCTTTAGCCTCATTTTGATGTAGATTTAAAAAAAAAAAAAAAAAAAAAGACAGTTCACTCTCCTGCCAAGATTCCCTCCTCTCCAAGCTGGTCAGCAGCAAGAACTATACCAGGTTACTACAGGATCAAGTATTAAACTTCCTTTTAACAACAAACTGCAAATTCAGCAGCCCTCCAATAATCCCTCGGGTGCCATGTTAGCAACATTTAAGCTACTTTCCTTAAAATATACCTATAGGGAAAGCAAATTTCCCTTTCTGAATTGACAGTCTACTCAAGAGTTCCCACCTGCCAGTGTCCAGTGATGTTTCCCAGTTCAGTCCTCCAATGTTCGTCTCCCAGGAACGCAGAATACGCCCACCACTGGACACAGTAATGGCATCTGGAGTTGGCATGAGAACAACCCTATTACTGTTTTGTTGTCTTCATTAACTATTTCATTGCTGATTCTACAAATTACTGTTCTACTCACACCAGTAGGACAGTACAACACATCTGGCATATGCAGTTACCCAACTGTCACCTGGTCAGCTGCACAGCAGTGAGGGTGGTCTCGATGTAATTTCCAGACAATGCTGTGTGTTGTAAGTCACTTTTATTCCTGGCACTAAAGGCCCAGGGGGATGAGCACAAATCATAAAAAACATTTTGTGTAGCTGTAGTCCTAGCCTGCACCACATGGCAAATCCAAGAGAGCAGAGCAGTAGGAAATAATGCTCATCCACACAGAAGAGGAAAGGCCAAGAAGTAAGTACATATTAACAATGTCTGTCCCCACCACAGGATCAAAGCCATGAGCTCTAGCACATTTAGCCCTGTACTGAATCCTCAGCTATAATTCTGTAAAACCAAACACAGGTCACACTGGAAGGCCTAAATGCTTTGCTTACCCTGTCCATGGATCAGCATGGCATCTATAGCTCCTTCAGGAGTCCCTTTATCCACATGGCGCCACACTGAAAGGAACAAGGCATCAAATAAGAACAAGCTTCCATCTCCCCCCACGTACATTAGAATCGCCTCCATCTTCTTTCCAATGTCATGCTGATAAAAGGTACCAGGTGACAGTGCTACAGACTGACAGCATCTGTTCAACCACAGGGCAGGTACAACATGAGCAACACCAACACAAACTTTCACATAACTGCCTCTGAAATGTGCCTCATCTGTAACCTGGAAGAATAAGTCTGAGGGATGAAAGAGAGGAGTTCAAATGTCATGCCCCATTTAGTTCTTGGTCCCACTATGTTGGTTAAGAACAGATCTAGATATAAGCAAAGGCACAGACATGCCATATCAGCATCTAATCAACTGATATTTGAAGATGGGAAACAAAGCCCCTGGGCATGAAAGAAATAAAACTGACAAATGCAGAGAGAGAAACATGCAGACTCCTCTCTCTAGAAAAGCTGAAGCCATGTCTCATTCACCATTTACCACCTAATTCATGTTAAGAGGGGCAAAGTTCAAGCTTTGAAACAAACTGTAATTTTTCAATTTGAATATCTATCATGGCTTAATTTTGACCCCACATGTGCTAGTTGCAATGTGAGGTAGTAAACAGCCTAACACGTAAAGCCATGCTCCACTCACAGATTTCTCCATTTCTGGAATTCAAAGCAGCCATCACGTTTTTCTCCGTAGCCACAATAAGCTTCTTGGACCCTTGCGAGGCTTCCAAGGAGGCAAACTTGAGCTTTCCCACATACTGCTGTCTCCTAAGGAAGAAAAGATTCAGTACAGGTGTAAGAAACAAAAAGAACGTATTGCACGAACCCCCTTCTTGGGGGCCTTCAAGAGGAGGCTGGATAGATATCTGGCTGGGGTATTATGATCCCTACACTTATTCCTGCAGGGGGTCGGACTTGATGAGGTCCCTTCCAACCCCAGAAACTATGAATAGGAAAAGGATGATAAAAATTAGAGTACAGGTACTCCTCACTTAATGTTGTTCCATTATTACGTTGCTGATCTATTAGGGAACACACTCGTTTAAAGTCGCACAATGTTCGGTTATAGCGTTGTTTGGTTGCCGCCTGCTAATAGGGAACTACTGTGACGTAACTGGACTCGTTTAAAGTCGCATAGTTCAAGAACGTAAGTACGACGTTAAGCGAAGAGCGCCTGTACATGATTATAACACAAAAGACAGGGCAATCACGAATGCCATTGATGAGGACTGGCAGAGAGCAAGCAGACCGATTTCCTTCTTAGTTGTGGGGTGGAGAAAATCACTTCAGAGAGAAGCTGGACTCTGACGGCCTGGGACTCGATGTCAAATCCAATTCTACAGAAGTTCAGACCGAGCTAGAGCAACAGTTCAGACTTGAAAGACTTCAGGTACCCCCTGGAAAATGCAAGCTTTGTTTTCGGGTTTTCTTTGGGTTTTTTTTGTGTTTTTTTTTTTACTACAGAAAAATTATAGAGCAATTCTTCTGTTGCAAAAACTCAGAAAAACCACAACGGGTCGGACTCCTTTTAACGCTATGAATCCCTGCACCAAATCCCCGGGTTCACCTCGCAGATCATGTTTGCACCCCTAACAGCACTGATATTGTGCAGCACCCCATGGCACCCTTTTCTGTCCTCACCGAATATTTCAGTTGAAATACTTGCAGCTATTGGGACATAACATTTAACACGAGGGTACTTTTTAATTATATTTTTCGTCCTCGCTGAATATTTCAGTTGACATACGTACTTGCGGCTATTGGGACATAACATTAACATGGGGTACTTTTTAATTTTATGTTTTTATTCTCATTGAATATTTCACTTAAATTCTTGTGGCTAAATGGGACATAAAATGAACCTTTTTATGTCCCAACAGCCACAAGGATTTGATTGGGGTGGGGGGAATTAAATGCACCACACTTAACGGGGTTCAAATGTTATATTCAGACAAATGCCAAGCTTTTATGTGGAAAGAAATTATTTTTTCTATAATAAGGTCACACTAGCGTGTCCTTCCTTTACACTGCCTTGCTTAAATTGAAGGAAAGCAACCCAAAAACAACGGCAGTGAACCCTGCCCCGCGGGCCTCACACCGTGCCGGCCTCCACTCGTGGTAGCGAGGCGTGTTGTGAGGCGAGGGCCGCTTACAAATGGATAATGAAGCGCTGGGAAACTGCCCCCCACCCCCTCCACGTGTGTGCCGGGGGTGGCTGGTCCAAGCCCCCCCCAGCCCGTGTCCCGTGTCCGCACGCACCAGTCAAACTTGCCCACTTGGTCCTCGTACACGGCGGCCACCGCCAGCGGCGACAGCAGCAGGAACAGCACCC